ACGCGGTATTTTGTGTTGGTCTTTGCAGATGCACTGAATATAGAACTTAATCATTCTGACCAATCAATTCTGACAGAAACAAAACTCAATGCAACATTACTGGATCCTCTTTAATTTACTAAGAGAGATGTACAGCTCTCAAAGAAACAACTAGCTAATTCGTTATGACAACATTGCTCAGATTAGCTAATGGGAAGACATGGATTTGCAGAGAAATGTGTACATGTTCTGAAAGGTAAGGAAGGCAGTCTATCCTATACTGGCTGAAGGAGCTGTATACTGTATCTAGCCGTGTATTTGTGGACTGCTTTCGCCTGATTTGAGAAACTGGGCCACTGTTCCTCTGGAGTGATACGTTCAACAGGAAGTGACCTCACTACAGAATACGCACATCTCCCTGCCAAACACACACACACACACACACACACACACACACACACACACACACACACACACACATACTGTACACACACACATATACACACACCTCTGTTCTGACCAAATGTTTTGTAGATGAAGACTTTGAAAGATGAAGACTTTGAACAACCGCACCCCTAAAATATCAACAAGCTGATCCCTCACTGGACACCAGACACTTCCAGTTACTTAATGGTCTTCTGTTGGATTCATTTTCATTCGTCTCCCTAATGGATTTTTTTACAGCTATAGTCTAGATTGAAACAGAGATGCGTAACCTAAAAAAAAAACTCTGCTTGAGTCTCTCACATCCTGATTCCCCCCGAAGCATCGAATGGGAAGTAGATGCTGAACATACAGTTCTTACAGTACAATTTTTGCAGTATTTTTCAAATTTGTGCATTGAGTTGCTTTCAATATTCTGTAGTAATGTACTGTTTAAACATCGTATTTTTGAGCTGTAATACATTTCATAAAGTTTATGGCTTTTAAATTATTCCGACATTATATATTTTGAATTGCTCTTTTCAATTATCTACTGTAATCAGGACTTTCACCAAGACACTGAAAAACAAAGCTGAAATGCAATACAGTGGCTAGAACGATGCCTCCTGGTGGTATTTATTAATATCCAAAACCTGTATAATAAAGACTCAGACAGAGAAAAGTGATTTATATAGTTGCCAACGAGTCAATACCATTTTGACGGCACCTAATAATAAAAATAGATTCTCTATGTAAGGGAAGAGACTTTTTTTGGGGGGGGCAATAATTCAAATGCAGAGGTATATTTATGTGGGGGGGAGCAAATAAAGGCAAAATTAAATGTTGAGGGGTACACTCCCCACTCCCTCTCCCTATACCTCTGTCTATGTGAATCTGATTTTATTACATATTGCTGTGGTCTAAATGTCCTTGACTGATTTTTATTGACAGTTGAAACTGAATTTCATTGTTTTTTCCTGGTAATGAATCTAAACTGTCAGATATATACAATATGGAAAAGCATTGACTCATTCCTTATGTAACACGTATAAAGTAAATATTGCAGATTAACAGTATTCCATGACTGCATTGGTGAAGAGATAACACACCACACTGGCTGATGACTAAGACAGTCAGCTGATGTGTTTCAAGCACAGTGCAAATCATTTTCAGTGGATTGTCTTCTAAATCTGTACTATACTGTATACAGAGATATACGTAAGGAAAATATTAAATATACTATGAAAATATCCAAACCTGCCTGAACCTTAGCTGAACTAAGGTCCAATTTTTAGCGTAATCTTCCGTGATGCCAACATGACAATATAATTATAAGTGCAAAAAATTAATTTAAATATAGTTTCTTTTCCTTGTAATATAAAGATTTTTTTTTGGAATCAAAGCTAAATGCTTACTTAATTGTAAGAAATATGGCTTCTTTTCCCAAAAATTTGTCATACACAATCAAAAGAAATCTATTCACAAGCATGTCATTGCAAGATTTAATTGTAATTGATCAAAATTCTGTTTCGGTGAGTCAAAGCACAAAAACAGCCGAACTTGTCAATTTTAAATAAAAAGTATATGTAGTTATTAAGAATAACGTAAAAAATTACCTGTCCCTTTATAGTACTTGGTACAGTTTCCATACACTATTTCTTCCTGCTTTACGTCAAATTGGGGCAGTGCAATTTCATCCATTTGCACTGGGTCACCTGACTGCCAGCTGAACACAAGGTCATCTGTGGTGTAGCCAACTGGAAACAGACATCCAGAGGGGGTGTAAGTACCTCACTCCAAAGACCTCGACAGTCCAGATGGCCCCCACCCCCCAAAAAAAAAAAAAAAACAGGTGGCCAGCCGAAAGAGCATGACGAACCGTAACAAAAACACACAAATGCTGATGATTTAATTTAGGCGAGGATCCCGGCGTTCGGACGACATGCTAGCAAAAGCCGCACATGAAGTGAGCTGTAGTAATGACACAGATATGGTCACATACAACTTTCCAGCTGCATCTTGCACTTCTGGGTGTCCATCGGAAACAGAGTCAAATCCAGAGGACAGGACAGAGTGACAGACAACCTGGAATGTGACAGACAGGAAGAAAAATGCATTTTGCAAAGAGTCTTACCTCGCTGTTTCATTGTGAAAAGCAATCACTCTGATCGAAACTTTCGGTGAAATGTTTACGGAGAACCGAGAGACCACGAACTGCATTTATATTAGAAGATTTAAAGACAGAGAGTAATATTTCCAAAGGCTAGTGGTGTTCTTATGGATATATCACAATTTAATAGTCGTTTGACTGAATCTGAAAACCTTCTTACTGAGATCCAAATGCTAAGGCATTATTCTGCCTAGAGAACAGGTTCAAAATTTACTGAAAGTGTACTTTTAGGAATGCAGATTCTGAATCGGAGTCAGAATGCACTCGAGCCTCTTCACGCTACTTTCAAACTTGAGGTTGAGACTCATAAAAGCTTCGGTACAAAGGGAAATTTCAAGAGGCAGGCAGCCCGTCACGATCACGCGGAAGGGATTTGCATCAAGAATTCACATTAAACCGCATTAAACTAAAAACTGGGAAAGAGAATGTCACACATCCCCATGACCCACGTGCAAGTTATATCAAGCAATAATCCTCCAACTGCCACCGCGCCATTTAACGAGCTATAATAACACCGGGGTTTTCAAAGACCCCGTCTATGAGCTATCACTGCACATCTTAGATGGCTCCTGTTCCTACTTAATGCAGAATTCATCGTTGACAAGCTCCAGAAGCCAAAAAAATGTATTTCTGACTGCATGAATACTGGGAAGTCTCAAAGACCTCAAACCCCCCCCCAATATTGTGAATTTGGAAAAAAATGAACAATATGCCCGTTTCAGAGAGAAGTCAAGACATCTTCCATCATTATGGACACATTATTAACAGCAAAGACCTCTAAAGGATCACCAACATGTCATATCTAAATTAATGCATGTACAGTCAATAAAGTTTGACATTCAAATAGATGTGAAGTACCTCATACTGATAAGCACGTCGCCGTTGCGGAAGATGAACAGGAGGATGTTTTCCTGCGTCACGTCGTGAAAGTTGGCGTTCTTTTCGTTCGCGAAGAACAAGTCAGGCTTCCAGAGGCACTGGAACAGGTTGGGATCGACGGTGAGGGAGTCTGATTTGAAATCGGTGGGAAGCCTGAGTCTAGGATCGTTCCACCGCTGTCTCAGGAAGATATTTACCCTGTAATCCTGGTAGAGGACACAACCAATTTCTGCTAAATGGGTTATCAGTAGGAATTATAGCTATTAAAGAATGTGCAACATGCTGGAAATGCAATGCCATTATGAAGGTCTTTCTACAACCAAAAATAACCACGGACGGTGTAAATAGCTGGTGGCTCAGTGGGTGGTGCTGTTGCCTCACACCTCCAGGGTTGTGGGTTTGATTCCCACCCCAGCTCTGTGAGTTTCCAAGTTCTCCCCGCGTTTCCGCTGGCTACACTGGTTTTCACACACTAAAAACATGCGGTTAGGCGAACTGGTGGCTCTATGAATGCGTTAGTTTGTGAGTTCGTGCCCTTCGAAGGTCTGTTATCGTATTCCCGCATCTCTGCGCTGGGATTTCTGAGACAGACTCCAAGTTAACCTTAAGCCTGTACTGGACAACCAGTATGGAAATGAGTGGCTATCAATGGCTTTGGCTGTGCAGCTGCTGTTTAACAAGACCCTCAGTGCAACCAACACTTTTCCTGTGTAATGGGAGATCTGGAAACTCAAATCGCTCTGTTCATCCACAGGGGTTCAAAGTTTATGTACACACCTAGAGCGGGACCCTCACAAGGAGACGGCATTCGTTAGCACTAATTGGGCGAGCCGGTTCCACTGTGACATCAGATCTTTCACCCTAGACACATTATCACACCAGTTTGCCCCCCCCCCCGCCACCACATGCAATGTCGAGCCACACAAAAAGAAAAGCGTCTTTGAGTTTTTAAATGTTAATGGGTAACTCTGGGATGGGAACAAAGCCAGAAGACCTAGAATGACCCGCAGCTGTACTGAGGAGCTCTGTGATATCTCCCTGAAGGACCGCTGGCATCCAAAACACTGTGAGCTAAGCTACGGCAGCTCAGTCGTGAAAGTGAAAATTCTCAATGCTATCAGACAGTGGTGCTCTTATCCGTACCGTTACGTGGCAGAATGAGTCAATCGAATGACAGCTAGCAGAATGTCTCACTGCTGGTTGAATTGCACTGTCAATTCCTATAAACAAAGTGCCATAGTAAATAATTTAAGGTAACACTTGACTTGCGGGGGCAGTTACTCAGTTACTACTCAAGTACAAATCAGGGCCAAACATAGTAACTGCATGAAATACATGAACCATTATGATTGATTAATGATGAACGAACATGGACTCAATGCATAACTAACACTTAGTTTCTGGTTAATTAATACGTTAAGTTACAGTGTACTACGACATTATTTGTGCCCCCTCAAGTAAAGTGTTACCTAATTGAATATTATAAATGCAAAATGTCTTAATATCAAAGCATTGAGTAGTACCAGTTAGGTCTAATAACGTGCAGCCCTAACAGCCTCAGAATGCACACGGTTTTTGGGGTGTTTATTTTGACCGGAGACCTTCCGACGCACAGTGTCTCCTCCACCTGAAGCAGTCAATCTCGCTCAGTGCTCACCCTTGAAAACGTCCCCTTAGCTTCGCTTCAGAACAGGCGTGCCGGTGCGGTGCACGGTGAACAATGACAGCTCATTACATTTAATGAATTTAAATTGCGATCACCTGTTCCATTTTCCCGTAATAGAAAATTCACGATGTAGTGCAAGCGGCGATAGTTGACACCAGCGTGATAACATCGCCATTTAAGGACGTACCTTGATCTGAAGTATACTCCTGAATATTTTAAACTTTTAAATCCAATGTATAAAATCAATTTTAAAAAGTACAGTAAGAGCTTGTAAGAAAGATATCCATATGTCAAGCCTGGGGTTAGGGTTATTTCTCATATATTGCCATTTAATCATTTGCTAATTTATTTGATGCATGATTTGACCCTTATTTATATACATATAACCATGTATATGTAACTTATATGCATTTGTCAGTTTTTCCTCCGGCACCGAAACTGCACCATGAACCCAAAAACCATGAATTTTGTGAACCATTGCATCCATCGATATCTATCTATCTATCCACCCATCCATCGTTAATATTTCTTTTTTGTTCCACTGTTCCCATACTGTCTGATTTTTTTGCACCAACAATAACAATGCCAATAATAATAATAATAATAATAATAATAAATAATTATTATTTTAAAAATCAGTCAAATAGACATGATGAAAAAAGCTCCCAACTCTACGACCCAGGATCTGACACACTTCACCTAATCACTGGGATGACACTGCGACTGGGTGACTGGCACTGTATCCTCGCACCATTAGGGTTGTTGTTCAGATCCCATGTGTGGAGTTTGCATTGGTGGCTGTAAATTGCCGATAGTGTGTATGACGTCCGGGGGTGTCCTGTGCCTTCTGTCCTCCCCTCCCCAGGACAGAATCCAGGCTTGAAAAGTGGTTATAAAACATGCATGAGTGATCGCAGGGATACTCATGAATCTTAGCCTGCACATGTATTCTAATGTGTTCAAACCAATTGGAAACACATATGATACATTTAAGCATCAGCCTGATTTTTACAAGATGTGCCAGACGACAGAAACATATCTTTCTTGGGTCTGTCCCCACCAAACAGGATCGAGGCTCGATCTGAATATATCAGGACGTTTACTCTAACAGTACCTCCATTTCCGCTCCATAAAAAATGTGTCACACTGACGTCTTTTGCCTTGAATGTGGGGAAAAAACACTGATTGATTTCTTCAGTGTCAATAACAAAGGAAAAGGGACACAAATTCTGAACTTTCTGTGAAAAGTTCAGATACAGAAAGTAAGAATCCAGACCAGGATTTTGTTTCAGCCAAACGTTGGTTGGTTGAAACGAAATCTTGGCCTGGATTTTTACTTTCTAGACCTGATATTTCCACCTCTGTCAGCACCTAATACTATATCTCCTTAACACTGTGCTTCCCAATGGTCCTCATTTTTGCTCCCTCCCAGATCCTTACCAGACAGTCCACATCTCCACAGCTCCCGCAAAAACGTGGACCGGGAAACACTGCCTTAATGCAGTGACGGTGTGATTGCTCAACTAACACTAATTAACACAAAGATAGAAGCCAGCGAGATTCAGTACTGTGCGTCTTGTTCTTACCATGGTCGTTTCTTGGATGGAGCCAAAGCTGTTTATGAAAATATTAACTTTGTCCTCCACTGGGATACCTGTGAATATTAAATGCATGTTATTGCATTGAAAGTAAGAGGCAGTTGAAGAGATTAAATGAAGCTAAAATTTATTTATCCATCTGTCCGTCCATCCATCCATCCATCCATCCAATTTCTTATCTAGTACAGGGTCAAACAGAGCCTAGAACCCATCTTAGTCAGCATGAATCCCAAAGTAGGGGGCAGCCTGAATGGGATTCCAGTTGAAAATCCTTCCATCTTCCAAATCCACCCTGAACTGAGTTATGAAGAAGGCTGGAGTCCTTGCCAGGCAGCTTAGGACACAAGGCAGGGGTTGCCCTGGACCCAATGCCAGCTGGAAAAAATCCTTTTAAATCATTTAGGTATTATATTTAAAAAGATGGGAAGCACTGAACAGACTTTCTCGAATATCCCTTTGTTGTTGAAAATCCCCTTCTTGTGTAGCAATCTTCACCTCCACAGAGTCCTACAGAAAATCATTCGAGCCAAATCTGTCTCACAGGTGACTTTTCTAAATGCTTTTGATTGGTCGACACATGCTGGCTCTGTCTTATTAAAACAGTGAAAGAGCATCACTCTGCCAGGAAAGAAAAACACAGCAGTGCACAGCTTGTTTCCACGGCGCTGTGCTCCAGCATCGACATCCCGGGCTTCAACAAAAGGCATTTTAAATCCAAACATTAATTATATTTCGCATTTCTGAGCTCAAGGTCCTCCATACCTTGAAAGTTGGGCCGAATTCTGGGATCATAAGTAGCCAGTAACCGGTTTAAGATGTTGCTCGTGGAATTTCCTGGAACTCTGGCGATGTCCTCTGGTGATAGTTGTCTATGAAAATGACACATTAAAAAAACTCTCTCAATCAAGCTATGCTGGAAATAAGGGACAGGTACAATTCCAATGAAATAAATGCTAATTCACCCTCTAAAGAATTAGTAATCTAACTTCCGGCACAGTTAAATGTTAGAGTTTGTGGTCTTTTTCCAATTAAGCCATATGAAGGAAAGAAAAATTGCCTTATCCAGTCATCAGCTAAAGAAGAATATTAATAATATACGAGAGAAGTAAGGAGCGTGTAGTGATTACAGCGTGTTGCTGCACCAACCACACGACAAACCACCTCAGGGATGAGAACCCAAGGGCAGCCGTGCGGTGGGTGATACCTCAGTACCACACTAGTCCGAAAGGACCAGTGTGAGTTTTTTCCCATTAGCTGAAGTGCCAATCCTGCCACCAACCCCCAATTTTTTCCCTGTAAGTTGGAGGACCTGCTTATAGGGCTGGATGTAGATTAACATCACACCCAGGAGGAAGCAGCTACAGGTTAAGGGCCCAACAGAGTAGGATCACTCTGGGCATTCACGGGATTCGAACCAGCGACCTTCCGGTTGCTGACACAGAGCCCTAGCCTGTGCCATAATAATATATGGTACACCAGGAAAACATGGCAATAAGCATTTACATATTTAATTTGCTAAGTCTGAGGAAATATGACACACTTCACATATCAAACTCATTCGTACTAAGACCGACTGTATATGCTGTCTATTGATATTCTTTGTATTTTCGCCTTCAATAAAAAAAATCCCGAACCCATCATAAAAACAGCAGTGTTGTAGGAGGGCAAGAAGGATTATAAAAAGGATTTAACATTTCCGTGAAAACGCGGCTCGCCGCGCATTCGAGCGCCACGACGGCGTTGGCTCGCCGCCCGCCTTCTGCACACTTACGAGGGACAGATCACCAGCTTCCCCTTCTTCCCCTTCTTGGCGGTTTTCTCCTTGGCGGAACCTGCTGCCACCCACAGAGAGCAGACCAGCAGCAGGAGTCCCAGTCTGACCAGCCACGTCTCGGGCCGCATTCTCCCCGAAAAACTATCGAAACACAGAGGCACAGACGTCACAGCTGCGCGTGTCAGACTCCACCCGCCTTGACTTCCCACCAAATGTTCACTTTTCCATATCTAACCACCATCTTTTATTACAGCAGTTCCTACCACAGTTTGATCATCTCTAGAAGAACAGATTAACACATTAATAATATACTTCCACGAACATTTGCCTTCAAACTCTTCCAACACACTGCTGGTTTCTCTTTCCTTAACAATCGACTCATTGCGCTGCATGTCTTCTAGAACCTTTCAAGCTGTCTGTTGTGGCATCATCTGAGATCGTTCCTCCTGATTTCGGGGTGTTTTCACGCACATATGTGTCACCTGTGTCTCCTGCTAGACCCAGATGCTACTCATCTGATATCATCCAGCCAGAATCTGCCCAGCAATATCCGCCCTTCTATCTCCTCAGAGGAACAGATTATGTTTTACAACAGAAGCTACTGAACATGTCTCCTGCCTGTTAATCCTCATATATGCTTTCCAGCCTTCATGCATTCTGAGTGAAAATACTTTATTTCTTTTTAATTAGCTGAAATATGGCATTCTTCTCACTTGACCCAGAGGACAATTAAAATTTAGTTGTCATACCCCAGGATAGGACCAAGACTATAGGCTTGAGTCCATCAAGCCAAAGTTTGCAGCGAAGTCACAGGATACCATTTTAGACATTGAAATGTCTGATACTGTTAATTTATGGTTTATTCAAAGATGCTCAGCGACCACTTTTTGTCCTGATTTTTGAAACCCTGTAACAGCACATTCATGATCTTCCGGATTCTAGAAATAAATGAAATAATTATATACATTTATTTTGTTTTCTGCTACATCTCTGCTGTTATATTTTTTCCTTCATATCCTACAAGCTGTGACACTTCCCGGGTTACAGGTTTTCTCACAAACAAGTTGTTAGATTGTATAGACCTGTGGCCTGTACTACGAAGCGGGGTTACTGGCTTATCGGGGTAACTTGTCGGATTTAAGGTAGTCTGGGCAAAATGTAAGTGAACGAATATGAAGTCCATTTAAACTGTGGTACCTTAAATCCGACAAGTTACCCCGATAAGCCAGTAACCCCACTTCGTGGTACAGGCCACCGGTAAAAAAAAACAAAAAAAAAAACAAAAACAGTTCTGTAAAACTGCAGCATGGTTTCGAAGGATTAAAAATTGATATGACATTCGATCACACATTAACTATCACCAAAGTATGCGGCCTCTCCCGCCTAAACCTGGTTTGCAAAATTAGGTGCAATATAAGTGCATTTCATGGTTGGCACGTTACACATTAGGTAGATACCCAAGCGCTGCAAGCACATCCCACAGATACACGCGCTTTCACACCGGCTCTTTATAAACTACCTTTGCGGTTCGAGATCAGTGCCGCATCGGTATCCTATGCAGCGAATCACGGTGTCTTGGTAAACCAAGACGACCACGATGCAAAGCCATATGTCTGAACGAGGCACAATTTATTTGAAGCCCTTTTTCAAAAATGGACAACTACCATAAATACAATCTATAACGATTTTTATTAGAATATCACCCATTTTTGTGGCGCTTGTGAAGGCATGCAAATATTGTAACAGCTTACGGGGTGTCGAACGATATTTTTGGTTAGCATTTTTTAAGTTCCTGCATTTATAACAAGTAATACCCAATGTAGCAGTATTTCAGAAGTAAATCGATAAGAAAGGATTAATAGATTTTGAAACTTCCAGTTCGCATTGCCAATGCTAAACTCTGCCCCTTGCTTCTCGTTTAACTGTATGCTAGTAAATTAAGGCATTTGCTTTGCAACTGATGGTTTTGGCAGAAACAAGGTGAACCTCGTGGTGTAAGTGAAGCATTGAGTAAACTCCGGTATGCATTTCCTGTGTATGACCACCAAACGCATGCACCGCTATACCTATGATCGTTAGCACTTAACGCTGGTCAACACTATTTCACTTACCGATAATGGAGAGAACAGGACTGAAAATCCAATTTAACACAAGCGAAAAACGCAGCTATAGCCGATGGGATGTAGACATACATAATGCGGCACACCACCTAAGGGATAATGAATTCTACAGAGCGCTAATAACTTAAATTACTTACCAAGATATTGCAATGATCTCCAAACGATCTTGCTCTGTAAAATTAATGGCAAAGGATGCAACACAACCGATTGCCCGGACAGGAGATCACCATCAAAAGTAATCGAGCGCTTCCTGTTTCCTTACGCAGCTATGTATGACAAGCACAAAACGAGAAATTAGAGTTTTAACTTCCGATGGACCATATTATCATCTATCAGTCGGTCCCTTTCTATTTCCACATGCTCCCTCCCCTCCCGTCCGTATTATATCTCGGCCGGCCTTCGGGATGACCAAGATGGAGCACGAGTCCCTGCAACTGCTCCGGCGCATGCGCAGGAACATCATTGCCGCAAAAAGCGCCACATCAGCACCGCTCCAAGACGTGGAGTCACAGCTACCACGCGAAGATTGCGCAGCGCCAGCATCTTTCTGCGCACGTGTGATCCTCTCATTAATTATCATCGACGTCACGCATATATAGTTGATATATATATATATAGCTGATAGCCACAACATAATAAAGCTAAAATAATATATAAGGATGAGTTAATTCAACATAAAATCTTAATTAAATGTGCATTTACTTCACATACATCCTTCAGTCTTTCTGCAGAGGAGTTTCTCTGTCTATCGTAGGAAGAACCTCCAGAGATTCTTGTGGTTTTCTTCAGATTTGCATCTTAACCTGAAATGTTAGCTGGCTAACCTGTATGATTGGAAGCAGGACAAAATTGACTGGCTAGTTGTTATGGTTGCATTGCAGGAGGCCCTTTGACCACATCAGCACAAAAGATAAAAAAAAGTGTGTGAACTTAGCCTTAGCAAGACTGCTGTCACACATAGTAATGTTGCCCATATAGTTTACTGCAATTCTGAAAGCTTATTCAGACAAAATGTTCACTGTTACACTTCAGGGTCAATGTGACAGAGGGGAACAGAATGGAAGGATGTACACCAGAGAGCCAAAAGGCTGATCTTAATGTCACATAAGCATACAGGCAAAATTCAGAGAGCAGCAGAAATCTGAGCATGGAAATACAAACACAGAGCTTAAAAGCACATTAACGTACGCATGCAATCTTTCCGATTGCTCAGATGTGGCTTAACAAGAGATGTCTTTTGTCAAACACAGTAACAGAGTGTTTTAATGAAAGCGAATGCATTCTGGATATGAGGCCTGAGCTTTGTGAGATTTACATTTCCACAGTAAACGTACATGAAAAGGTAGATTCAAAGCAAAGTAATACAGCTTTTATTTGCTGAGAGCAGTGCTGAAATGCTGACCTCTTCTTGCGTTCTCCAGTTGAAACTTTACGAGAAGAGTACAAAGATATACCATGCCCTGAAACAGTGCATTTCTTTTCCTTCAATGCTGTAAAATACAAACTGCATATCCTAAACCACATTACACTGATTAGCATAACCAGTACATTTGATTAAACAAATCTTTTTGCATTTCTGAAATAGTAACTGCTGAAACACACATTACTCTGGAATAAAGGAATGAATCGTGCTGCTTTACAACAAACCTGTGATGTTCAGAATATCCATTTAAAAAAAAAAAACAACAATATTTTGATTGCATACATAGGGAATGCTTCAAGCAAACCCTTCATTAATCAAATCTCACTGTTTTGATTAAATTCTCTTCAATGACCACAACACTGACCCAATGTACCACCCTACAGCGGCTTAATTACAGACCTGAACACGTTCCCCCCCTAAATATTGTGGAACATCCCTGAACCAGAAAAACAGGCATGTCTACAAAATAATAGAGCCTAACATGGCTGGGACAATGCAGCAGCCAGCACAAAGCCCCCAACATTAACTCATTAAGACGCCTTTGTCACCTCATCACCAATGCAGAATACTGATGCTTCAAAAAAAAAAAAAATTTTTAATGCAATTCTCTACGGATGAAAGAATTACAATAAGTCAGTTCCATTCATAATTTGCTTTCAGGAGAACACTTATTTAGTCTGCCTAAATGCCATAAATGATATGTTTGTCTGGGCCTATTGTTTATTATGTATCAATGATTGTATTATTGAAAGCCAGTCTGTTTGGTTAATTTAAAACATATTGGTTCAAATATCTTTGTAAAAAAAATAAAATATAAAAAACATAGCAGGGACGTGAGAAATGCAACAGCTATCTCCGTATGCATGTGAAGCTAACGTAAATCACATGTGCTCCTCTGACAGACAGGGATTACCAGAAAATCCGTGAAGACTGTAAACACGACAGGCTCGCTTGTGCTGACTGGACAGCCGCGGACAGCCCTCGCACGTGATGCATTAGTGCATAGCTATCACCTTGCTTTGATGGGTGGTATCTAGCCATCATCCTGGAGGTAATCAGAAAGGTTTGACATGCAGAGTGAAACACACGTGTTGAATTACAATAAATATGGCCTAGAACTGAAACAAAAGAGGCATGTCTTATGGTGTTATCGCTATAATATTCTAACTTGGCTTTCCTAAAGGTAAACATACTGCCTATAGTTTGAAAAAAACGAAAAGATCTTTTGAGACACAAACAGTTGTGTCTCCCCTGTGCATCTGCCAACCAAATCTCTTAAAGAGAACTAAAGACACGTGTGCATTTTTTAAGTCTCTGCGACCGCAAGCCTCTGGCTATGGTAGATGCCACGATGCTTCTTGCTCTCTCAGCACGCTAATCTGGAAGCAACTGGCAGAGCTCACGGTTCCAGTGTATACAGCTGGAGATAACTGGCGTCTAACACATCATACAGATGTTACGAAGGCATTTGAGCATCCCTACGCATTATGAGTGCTAGTTCAGCAACCTGCAACAATAGGAAAAAAGACAAGTATTTGTGCAAATAGCATTAGCTATATGGCTAACATTAAGCTAGCAGTTAATTAAGGGCTATCCTTACCCTTGTAAATTGCCCTCTTTTGCCAAAGGCAGAACTGGTTGAAGAGACCACCAGGTGTCTCTAGCTCGTAAGCAAAAGTTTACCGTTCTGGAACCTTGTAACGCGAGGATACACATCGCCATGAATCACGGCTGTACGCCTCCCTCAGATATCATTACGACAATCCCCCACAGAGCCTCTAAAAAGCCGCCTTAGAGCCCGGCTTTATCGGCATATTTATTCATTTTCGTACAAATCAGAGACGAGGCGATTCACAAATACCGCCGGGCCGTGCGGGGAACGAGAGGAGGCCATGGAGACAAAATACCAAAGCTATTCAGACAAAACCTTGAGGGGAAAAAGAGAGGGAATAGAAGGAAAATGTTTCTGCACCAGAGTGCAGACATCTGCTGTTTCCCGGCACAAAATGCAACCTGACACCTTCAGGCAGACAAAAGAACGGGACCTTGCACCAGATGCCGGTTTGACAATCCACTGATAAGTTGCGCTAAATGCTTATACTCACTCACTTTAACGTTAAACGCACGTTTTGATCTCCCACGGTTTCCCAACATCCGGCCTAGCGCCTTGGCTACGATGCACACTCTGAGGTACACTGTCCAGGTATTGCATCATGGATGAAGAATTGCAATCAAAATCGGTAAGCACCCCACCCCCCCCCCCTTTATAAGAGAGAAGGTAGTTTAAGGGAATATAAACTCTTAGAAGATTCTGCTCATGGGTAAAAAATAACAATAAGCACATGAAAAGCATTTCATGCGGTCATACCCTATGACACAAATTGGAAACAGGAGGGAAGGATTACTCTCTCTTATGTGACATTAAGATCAGCCATCCCCATAACACGTGGTGCCCAAGTCAATCTTTCAACATGGTGGATATTGCATCTTTCTACTGCTAATTTCAAGAAACGGCTCCCTTTGTGTTTTGTCTTCATCCATCTAAACTGAAGGGGTTTATTCTCTTCGCGCAATTCCTACGGCACCACAGCGCATCTCTTTCCAAGGCGGCGATATGGCGAGTTACAGCCTTAATTCACCGCGGACGCACAGACTCACGCCGGCGACAGTCGGGTCACGAGGCCAGGGGGGGGGGCAGGGGGGCAGGTGCCCAGAGCAGACGCCACTGGACGGATAGGCGTCGACGGCCACACCGCGCAGCAACCGCGCGAAGCACGCGCGGCACGCCTCTGTCAGCGGGGTCACCGTGTCGCCTGATTTAAGCCACATTCCGCTAACAATTCCACAAGCTACGTGAGTAGCCCTCGCAGGCCAGTGACCCGAGTGCCAGAAAACTGAGATATTATCGTATACGTTCACCAGTATAACAGCTCATTAATCTATATGTCAGGCCGCTTACCCAAGAAAGGGTGATGAGTGAGCCTGGAACCAATCCGGGACAGTGCAGCACACAGGGGATACCCAGGATGGGATGTCAGACCAGCAGAAGGGACATACCCACACGCATGAGCAATTTAAAGACACCAGTGCATAGAAGCATTTTTGGACTGCAGGAGGAAATCAGAGTAGCTGCAGGAATCCACCATGAAAGTAAGGAGAATGTACAGACACAGGGGCAGGCAACAGACCCTCAACCCTGAAGGTGTCAGACCACAACACTGACCCAATGTACCACCCTGCAGCGGTTAAATTACAGACCTGAACACGTCCCCCCCCTAAATACTGTGGAACATCCCTGAGCCAGAAAAACAGGCATGTCTACAAAATAATAGAGCCTAACATGGCTGGGACAATGCAGCAGCCAGCACAAAGCCCCCAACATTAACTCATTAAGACGCCTTTGTCACCTCATCACCAATGCAGAATACTGATGCTTCAAAAAAAATTTTTTTTTTAAAATGCAATTCGCTACGGATGAAAGAATTACAATAAGTCAGTTCCATTCATAATTTGCTTTCAGGAGAACACTTATTTAGTCTGCCTAAATGCCATAAATGATATGTTTGTCTGGGCCTATTGTTTATTATGGATCATTATCTATACCTAAGAACGCACTTCAGCACACGGAAAGATTACCATTATAACACTCCAAGGAGGTTTCCTCCACTGTGTTGCATACAGTTTTATAGAGAGATGCCAAACCGGACGTTAGTTACCATTTTATTACTTACAATGTGAAAACTGAATGTCTCGAAGGAGTAAAGCAGTAAAATTCTGATTATGGATCCTGAAAGCATCCGACGTGTTTCTTCATTAAAATCATCAGCAGGTCTGACTCTGAGTCAGCTGTTTGGATTAATTTCATATAGAATTGGTATTTCTACACACGACTCTGTTTTTCATATCAACATATACACATAATTTGTCCCCATGTGAAGTTATCCCATCAAAACCGACGTTTGTAAATGTCAGGATACCGCGTGGATAATGACAAGAGAATAACATGTTTAATTTTGGTAAAGCGCTTACAATAACTTGAATTTTATCACGTATATATTTAACGCGTGTAACGAAAGAGCGCGTCTTCGGTTACATTACGGAGCAGGAGCGACTATTTAGTTTGGGCGTCCCTGTGGGAGTTTGGGGGGGGGGAGTTCCCTTGACTGGGAAGTTTGACTTTATGTACAGCACCTGTTGTGTCGCCAGTTGGCAGTCTGGGTCCACTCATGCTTCAGACGCCGCCGCCTCAGTACTGCCTCTCGATACATGGGATTAGACTTCACGCAGCATCGGGAGTCCGTCTTAACGGGATCGTCCGGGAAAAGTTTGGATTTTTAGCGAAGGACCCGCAGCACTGTACACGTCTACGCTCGCAATGCAAGAATAATGGACGCGATCGAATACTTTGGGGACGACTGATAGGATAACAAAGTGGCAGTGATTCGAAAACGAAGGACATGGACCATTATACTCCATCATAAAAGTGCAGGAAAGTTCATCACGTTAATTGCACGCCTCAGGGTAACCCGGCATATGCGGACGGTGCACAGTCTTTAGACTTGCTTGATGAACATTAAAACTTTTGCCGGAGTTTTAACAAAGTAAGCAGGTGCTTGGTGTTTGCATCCCACGGAGCAGACTTGCGTGTCGGCGTGCAGCGATTCAACTTTTCTGGAGGGTCTGTGGGTGCATCAAATAGCCTAGCATGTAAAGTTTCTTTTTTCTCCTTTTACCGACGTGAAGGGGACTTTTTGATCCGATTATGTGGATACCAGTTTGTCCGCCGATGCTTTTAAATCGGGATACCGGCTCTCGCACCCAGCACAGATCGTGAATGGTGACAAAACACGTCCTGAGACGCCCGGCTCTGAAGTCCCATCCATAGGTCTCGCAGTTCACCGTCATCCAAATGATCCTGTTATTGTTGTTCCTCCTTGTGTCGTCTGCTCAGCGTCATGGATCGGGGGCTGAATCAAGTGTCGGCAACACGTTTCAACACTCCGGCTTGAAAGGGCTGAGCGGTAAGCCGGCATGCGGGCCTCTCCCCGTCACAAGTGTGTAACACTAACCTCGGGGGCTTCAAACGCCGCTTTCCCCCCCTTCATCTGCTCCTTTACTTTAAAGGGTTTAAAGCGCAGCGCTTTTCTTCCTGACGGACATTTCCCATGTGGTCAATTGAAATGAATGAACACCTTTTGTTCGGCGCACGCTGGATAAACCAGCGCAGGAAACGTAATGACTTTTTAACTTTTAAAATGTAACCTCAAGTGAGGTATAGAGAGGGGGGGGGGCGGGAAAACTCACTTTTCATATCTCTTGAGATTTGGTTTCGGTGTAACTATTAAAGGAGCCTTTTCATGCGGGCGAACAGCCGCGGGCTGTGTAATTTGCGTACCTTCTGAACCCTCCCTGATTTATGCTTTGTTTCACTCGATTGGTCAAATACCAACTTCGGTTTAAATTGAGGGCCTGGTGATTTAAGCATTTTAAAGTAAATAAAGCGATGTTTTATTAATGTTGCGTTTCAAACGGTTCGCACGTTCCCTTTTTTAGGGCTCGCTTACTAATTCTTCTGTTCGTGTGATTGTGTGAGAAAGTCCGTGTGACTCGCTTATGGCCTTAAAACATGGATTAGCTATTGATTAATTGATATTTAGTATTAATGTCTCAAAAGGGCCTACTATAGTTGTGTTTAATGTTTAATATAAGGTGACCTTCACTCAAAAATTGCAACTTGAGAAAGAAACTTAAGTGCCTCAGTACATGCTGAACATTGTATTATTTGTTGATTATTAAGCCTTGTAACACTTTTATATGTTTAATCTGTAATTGCATGCCCTTACCATGCCTTAACTCATCATTTTTGGCTTGGATAACTTGCCTTGGCACTTACTGCTCTCTGTATTTATTTACTTTTCCTTGACTGGCTCTCTGATTCACTCAGTGCATAAATTTTACATACTCTCTCCCTCTCCCATTTCAAGAACTCTTGACCCTGCAGCAGCATCTCATGTAGCCCCATTTAACTCCGTAAAGGTTCACGTTCACTCTCCCGCCCTCAAGTTTAGCACCAGGCACGCTGACTCAGTTTGTAAGGCAGATGCTGGGGTCCAGGACCAAGCCCTTTATTTAAGGCAATGTCACCCGATGCTGTCGCGATAAGGATCACTCGTGCAGTGCAAGGAGCGCTGCTCAATAAGCCCAGGTCTGCAATGAGTATCTAATTGGATTTAGGAAGTCGACGCTGGGGACGAGTCTGCTAAAAGATTTCACAGAGCAGCTGTTCCTTCAGGGAAGAGCAGTCGAAGAGTATCCTTTCAGAAGAGCAGCTCAATTTTGCCAGCTGATATCAAATGCCCGTGGACCAGACAGTATTGATTGGTCCACGTGGTCTTGTGCCCAGATGCAGTGAACGTATAAGCTGCTTGTCGAGGACTGGGTTATTCGATGGCTATCCAGGCCAGGCGAGTGCACCTGTGATCCACACAAACCCCCCTTTTTGCTAAACCGACCCAGGTACCTCCCTGGCCCCATGTGACCCCGTCAGCTGTGATTGGTTTATGTCTCTTGTGCTGACAGTTCATAAGATTAAGGGACTAGCCAGCATCGCCTATGAGACACACAAGGTTGTTTTGTGTGCCGGGGTGGCCTTATAATTGAAAGATAACCAAGGAAATTACGATAGCCCCCGCCAAGTTAATTTTATTATTTATTTTTTTTTGAAAACTGAGATTTGTGCCTCAGTGTATAATTAAATTCTCTGAAGAGAAGTTCATTTTGGTTCAGCAGGAGGCTATCAGGAATGGAAATTCATTTATCGTAATCGTAGGGTAGCAGGAACTGTTTTGCAACCGGCGAATGCTTTTGGGAACTGTTTTGCAACCGGAACACACTTTGCCGCATGCTTGCGGCCAGGAGGTGGAGACAAATTTGTGGTCCAATCACAGGTGGATCACATGCTTAATTGGTGAGTAATGTCCAGGGTTCAGATGACAGATGTGGGATGTAGTCATTTTCATTTGATCATTTTGAGTGGGGGTAGGAGTCTTCAGTCTTTCCACTCTGTAACAAAGGGCAAAATATCAGAGGTGATGAAAGGCGTTACTCAAACATGTCATCAGCCATCCCAACCATGCGTACCATAGCCCACCTGCTGTAGGGTGTTGCTGCACTAATTTAAGGTTAGAGATTAGCAAAAAAAAAAAAACATAATGTTTTGCACATTAATGGAAAAGGATGTACTGCATTTTCGCAGAATCGATCATTATTGTATTCATTATTACATCATTGCATCATTAATTACTGGGCCCTTTACCTCATTATCTGAGGACATGGTGCATGATTTTTGTACTGTGAGGTCCATCTGGCACCGTACAGCCTTTACTGTGAAGGTAGGAGAATAACAGGAAAGTCGCTGAACATGCTGATGCGATGCTTCGGTTTAGATTGAAGACGAGCAGGTGCCCCTTAGCGCATAACCCAGAAAGCGGGGGGCGGGGGGGGGGTGGCAGAAGGAGGAAGTAAACACGGCGTGACGAGGGAGAGACGCCTGTTCGTGAGCTGACCTCATTTGGCCCCTCTACAGTTGTCCTGGTGACAGAGCTAATTTCGGGTGTTGACTGTAGGAAAACGAGGCGGCAGTTGTTAATGTTGATTTTCGGCAGACGTGCAAGTTAATTCCATCATTCAGGCGGCTGTATCTGTGCCATATGTGGATGCAGGCCTTGCTCATGGACCCAAGAGTAATCTTGTCAGCGTTGGGCCCTTGATCAAGGTCCTTAATCCTGGAAAATTGCTCCGGGGTGCCGAATCAATGACAGACCCTACGCTAGGGGTCTTAAACTTGAATAACCTGGGGGCCACTGGCTAGGAGATCTTTGCTTGAAGCAGGACCACGCCAGCTTTTCTGAAAAAAAAAAAAGATGGGGGAGGAGGAGGGGGGGATAGAATGACGTAATATGTTTTTTTTTTTATTCTCTGTGGCAAAGGGAAGATCGATCTGCGGACCACATTGAATAATGAATTAAACGCATTACTCCTTCGCTTTCACCCCAGGCTTTACTCTGATGTGTGTCCTGTAGGAGAATAACAGCAGATGCTGGAAAATGACAGATTTCCTATGTACCTGTACTTGTACGAGTGGCAGATGAAGTTGCATTATCACAATCCCATCGCAGCGGCATCCATAAAGAGTTTGGCCAGAAAATGAAGCGCAGTTTAAGGATAATCAGCACTGAAAGCTTTTTTTAGTGCTAACTTTTCATTGCAAAATTTAGTGGCCTGAACCATTTTCATTGATTTTATTTTCTGTACTGTAACTGCAGGGGGATGAATTTTACATTTTTATCATGTTTTAATATTCAGAGATCATTTTCCCCATATTTATATTTGCCTTATTGATATCACGGTCAGTTTGTTTGTTTACTCGATCCATTCTCTGTTAAGCGATGACCTCTTAATGACTGGAAAATAAGCAGGAAAAAAAGTAAACTAAAATTAAACATCTAAAGAAGTTCTTTGGCAATGCAATGGAAATGTCAGCCTGTCTATGACGCTGTATCACTACGGGCTGTTTGCTGTATAGCAGTGAGGTAAACCGCACGACATATGACTGAATAGGGTTTGTGCAGTTAACCACCTGAGAACGGCTCGTCATACGGGACATTTTGTAAAGGAAGAAAATCTAGATGGGGGGGGAGGAGGCATATTTTTAAATGTCCATAAAACGGCGCTTTTAGATGAATCTGAGAAGTGTGCTTTTGGGGAAGGGGGGGGCGAGTCCAGTTACACCCGTCACAGCGTGAGCCGCAGGACTCGCCGGCCTTTCAGTCGTGTCGGAGATGGTGTCACGTGTCTGGCATTCACAGACGCCACTGCTCGCCTGGAGTTTGTCATCCGCTGGGCTGTGTGTGTGTGTGTGTGGGGAGGGGGGAGGGGTGCTGGTTCTGCCAGCGTTCATGCATCTCCTGTACAGTAACTAACTCACTAGGGAAGAAGGCTCGTGTGGTTATCTGAGAAGATATGTCTCCTTGCCACATTCCCTGTGACTCAGAAATGGACTCCAGGGTGCAACTCTGGCTGGAGTTTCCAAAGTAAAACTTTGGTCTTGGGTTTGTGTGCCTTGCAGAATAACTGCATGCGAAGGGGATCAAAATTGTGCGCCTGATCCAGGAGTAGAAACTGAAACGAGCCGCGAACGGTAACATTATTACATCGCGTCGCGTCGCTACGCTCACTTTAGCATTTTAGCAACCAGATATTAGCGTGATATTGCACGGAGTAGGGGCTGACGTGGTCCGCAAACTGACATCATATCTCCTGTTACTAAAACGGTTCACCATTTTACTAATGGCCTCTTCAGCTACCCTTCCCCCTGCCCCCAAATATTAGGGTTAGTGAATTTCTCACAGAGCACTTGGTAATGAGGCACCCTCCTCAGCTATTGTATATATTTTAATTAGGAGCCATGGTGGTCTGCTGCCTTGACTTGTTTGGTCTTTCTGCAATCCAAACAGTTCCCTATTACCCTTCTTTTAAGTTGCCAGGATGATTGTAGTATATTTCGTAAAACTACCAATTGCTGCGTACGTGCATCCATGTGGTGTGTTATATGTGTTATGTTCTTGGAGTGTGGGTATTGAGCATGAAGAGGAGTAGCTTGGATTATCAAATGGAACGTAAAGGTCATTATCCACAAGGTATTTTTTTCATTTATAGTGCACTGAAAAGCCATCAGCTACCGTACCTCCTTGCTCTCTGTGAGTTGTAGCTAAACAGCTGTTATTAATCACTAGACCTTGTGTTAGTAGTTTGCACGTTGATTTCTTTGTTGCGTTACGAAAACGTACCTTCCTGTGGGATCAAAAACCATAATCTGGTAAGCCTGTCATGGGTGTAGCGGTCTTCGCTAGCCAGGTTTTTCCTTAACTTTTATTTCTCTTTATTTATTTTTTACCCTCTCTGACGAACAATCTGCAAGATCAGCCAGGTATCAGTGATATACTGAATATACTCAACCAGTCCTGGATCTAGTGGATCCACCATGGTCTCGGTTTTTAGTGACATACTGTTGTGTGTGCGTGCTATAGAGTAGCCCCTAATGAAAGCAACTCTTGCCTGACTGACACCCACAACGCGTTCGTCTTGTTCTTTATCACTAACACAGACTCACTGTATACTTGCTCTAAAAGGCATGTATTAAACAAAAGTCTGGACACACCTACTGAAAATCACATGTTTTTCAACACTACTAGCCACACCTTGATAAGTATTATCTTTTGAACGAGGAATGAGATGGAGCGCTGTGACAGGTGACCTGGCCCCCACAATCCCCCCCGACCTAAATCCTTTATGGCTGCTCTGGGATAAGTTGGATCGAAGAGTAAGAGCAAGGTAGCCAAGTTGTGCCCAGAACTTGTGGAAACTCCTTCAGGACTACTGGAGAAGCATTCCAGGTGGCGACATCTGGAAGCTGGTTGAAAGAATGCCAAGAGTCTGCAATGCTGTCATCTAAGCAAAAGGGGGTAATTTTGAGGAGTCTAAAATTTTCGAAAATTTTGAGATGTTGAACTCTTGGATGTAGCAGTACTTGATGTGTTACTTCATTGCCTCAAGGCCTTTTACTATAAGATGAATAGCATAGCTAAAATAGAGACAAATGTGTTAAAAGCAGGTGTGTCCAGACTTTTGACTGGTTCTGTATTTATCTTAGCAGTATCTCAGTAAGGAAATATTAATTCAATACTACCCTTGATTTTGAGCAACTTTGTATATAGTGATTCCAAATAATAATAGTGTAATTTGATCAATGATACTGTGGTTGGTGCTTTGGGAGCAGAAATGACATAGAAACCCAATGGTTAACACACTGTCCCTGGCTGTGCTGCTTAACACTACAAAGGTGTCATAGGACACATCACATATACAGCGAATATTCAGCTGTATAGAGGGGTTGAAGTAAATTGCTAGGGAACTTACTTGAGGTAAAGTTATTTGAAAGTAAATAATTGGTTTCTTTTCAGACACTGGGTGAGTTCTTGGGGTGTGGGTATTGAGCATGAAGAGGAGTAGCTTGGATTATCAAATGGAACGTAAAGGTCATTATTGAGATAAGCACACTAATATGAAGCATTCTGTGGGGGTAGGGCCGAGCCCCTGCAGAGTTGAAAGGCTTACCTAAATGGGGGGGGGGGCACTATTCCTCAGTGTTTCCACAAAAGTTACACACAAGACACACAAACCCAGACCATTGAGTGATCTGATCCATTACTCAATGGAAACGTCAATAATGTAGCCGGGATATCTCATAAGGGGCTCATAAATTGCCCGAAATCTGCCAAGGACCTGTCAAGGTAAGGAACTTCCCCAAAAAGACACACAATAGTACAATAAACACATTGAGGCAAAACACCTGATTTACATTGCTCGGAACAGAGCAGCTCTTTGAGAGCCTGAGCGGCTAACACTTGACAGCGCGCTGAGGGATGTTTCAGCTTGATCTGTCTGGGGTGTGCTGCCTTTCTGCCCTTGGACGTCGTTTACCATCATACTATCAGCATGAGCTGCAAAATCCAGTATAAAATATATTCTATATTACTTCAGATATGTAGTGCATTATCCAAAATTAATGGCGTTAATAAATTAGCATGCTTTACCTAATGAAGACAAGTTTGAATGTGTACCCTTTGATACTGTGTGAATTGGTGTCTTCAGACACACTTATAATCATCTGCACAGGGCCAGTTAACCATAGATATGGTCTGTTTTTTTGGGGGGGGGGGGTTCAGAAAGTTAGTTAAATTCCATTAGACTTAGTGTTCTGGTTTGGAAATGTACGTGGTTGACAAGCTGACCTTGGTTTCATTCTGGGGTTGGAACACCTACATTCCACGGCTGATTTCATCACACTGTGTCCGTAAAATGTCTTAAAGCAGCCTGCTTCTTATCGTTATTCTTTTATATGCTGAGTAATGTCTGCAATTTAACCTTTTTTATTTTTTAACCTCGGGAGCAGAACACTTAAAAATGTGAGATGCTCTATCCGCTTGCTGATCTCAGCAGCTCACCTTGCTTTTTTGCGATACACGGTACCAGCCAAAAGTCCGGACAAACCTACTGAAAATCATTTGTTTTTCAACAAGATAACGACCCTATGCACATCATGCAGTCACCTCGTGAACAAGGAAAGAGGTGCAGTGTTGTGACCTGGTCCGCACAATCCCCCGACCTAAACCCTATAGAGCTGGTTTGGGATGAATTGGATTGAAGAGTAAGAGCAAGGTAGCCAACTTGTGCCCAGAACGTGTGGAAACTCCTTCAGGACTGTTGGAGAAGCATTCCAGGTGGCTACATCCAGAAGCTAGTTCAAAGAATGCCAAGAGTCTGCAGTGCTGTCATCGAACCAAAGGAGGACTGTTGAAGAGGCTAAAATTTGAGAAAATTTCGAGATGCTGAACACTTCCCTTGGGCATTGCAATTTCTGATATGTATTACTTCATTGCCTCAAGGCCTTTTACTATAAGGTGAATAACATAGCTATAATACTGACAAATTCATTAAAAGCAGGTGTGTCTTGATTTTTGACTGGTACTGTGCAGGGTTTGATATAGACATTTTGACATGGAATTCAGTATTTGCTTTTTTGAGTATCAATCTATCTAAAAATAGTCTAAAATGCTGCATAATACTTAACTGTGTTGATTTTTTGGGGCTTTAGATAAACGAACCATTGTAGAGAGCTGATGTAAAATAACAGTTCTATATCAGCTTGGTTCTGTTTGCTAATTCCAGAGAATCAATGCAGGGACCAGTCAATGCCTCAGTAATTATGACTTAATTGACGATAATGATCCAGGACTCACTAGTACTATGAATAAATCATTCACCTCTTATCTCACAGGTGACTGACCGATCACCCGATCTGTGCAGCTGTGGTTGTCACAGCCACATCCAAAGGTGTTTGCAAAAATATCGATCAAAATAGCAAAAACACACAAGCCAGCCTGTGAACCGTTTCCACGGTGCTGACATATGACATCACATCTGCGGCTGACCTGTTTATTTTTCCTGTGGTGGCGGCGAAAGAAGGCAAACATACGATTTGCGCTGGTTGTGTGACTACAGGCCGGCTGCTAAACTCACCTTCCCTTCTGTGGGCGTGGACGTCCACTTGATGCTCACGTTTGCTTTTCGTAAGATCAACTGGACGGGGTATAATAAAAGTAACTTGTGGCTTCAGGTTTTCCACGGAAATGTGCACGCTTGTTTATTAAAGTTCGTGCAGCTGTTTGAACCCCTGCTTCCGACTCAGAGTTTCTATTTAAATGGAAGCTCAGTTGTCTCTGTAACCCTATTAAGAGAGACCTGCTCTTGGATATCTGCGTTTTGCATTTACTTTCCTGTTTCTTTTGGAATTGCAGGTTTAAATGTGCAGCTATATTTATCGGCCATGAGCTACTATGTCTAAACACAACCTTTCTGAGCTGTATAGTGGAAAATTTAACCCTTTGGCTGAACATTTCAGATCTTTTTGCTGTGATGTCTAGGTAATGGAGTAAGAGTTTAATTTTACATGCAGCTGCAAAGATTGAAATTATTTTCAAGAAGATCTGTTTATCGGATAACCTGGACAGGGTTAGGGACAGGTAGACGTTTTAGTTCAAAAGGTTTTACATTAATGAAGAAATATACAGTATCAGTCAAAGGTCTGGACACACCTACTGAAAATCATTGGTTTTTCAACCAGGTAACGGCACTGTGAACACATCGAAGTTATGTAGTAAGTATTACCTGAATAAGGAAAGAGATGGAGTGCTGTGACAGGTGACCTGGCCTCCACAATCCCATGACCTAAACCCTATAGAGTTGGTTTGGGATGAATTGGATCGAAGAGTAAGAGCAAGGTAGCCAACTTGTGCCCAGAACTTGTGGAAACTCCTTAAGGACTGTTGGAGAAGCATTCCAGGGGGCTACATCTGGAATCTGGTTGAAAGAATGCCAAGAGTCTGCAATGCTGTCATCAAAGCAAAAGGGAGCTATTTTGAAGAGACAAAAAATTGAGAAAATGTAGATGAACACCTTTCTTAGTCATTGCAATATTTGATATGTATTACTTCGCTGCCTAGAGGATTTTAACAATAAACGAATAACGGAGTTAAAATAGACATGCATTAAATGCAGGTGTCTCCAGACTTCTCACTGGTACTATATTAATGCATTTTTCTGGCTTGGAGCAATGAAAATGGAACTCATGGTGTTTGCCTTCCCTGTTTCTGTAGGACATCAAAATGACTGAAATAGGAAGTGATAGAGACGCTTCTACAGCTAAGATGAGATCTGACATGAGGTTAGGTGAGGTGAGGTAAACGTCCTATTCCTGGTTGAACACCAGTGTTTAGAAGCTTTCTTCAAAACATTGTGGACACCATTAGTTAGAAAAGGTCAATGTAACTTACCATAGCATAATGAAGTAAGCACCATCTTTTTTCTTCAGAAATGGAGAATATGAACTTTATATGAATTTCACCTTATGCCAGGATTTCGAGACACTGTGCTGAGTGATTGTTGCGTTTATATTTAACACAAAAGCAACTTAATCTGCTGTTAAAGTAAGGGAACAATATTTATAATTAAACAAAGTATACTGGGCCAAAATTTAAGAGGTGGGGTCACTATTTCAGATATATTATGGTACCTGGACAGAATTTAAAGTGAAGTCTATTATTGTCTGTCTGTGTGTTTTGCGTCTTGTAATCTGATATATTTCAGAAGGGATAATTCTGTTTCTTACCTTAGACAGGATTCAGTTTCTGTTCAGGTCATTAAGAAACGCTGATTCACCTCAGCGATGCGTTTTAGTCTTCTGGGTGCATTTCGCCATCTGTTGCACCGTATATCCTTACACTGTATATAAGGTAAGCTGGGAAAGACAGCTCTCTGACATGTAACCTAATCTTTCTGTTCAGAGAGCTCATTGAAGGATCAGAAAGCACCTTCGGGACATTTTGGGACATTTCAGGACACCCGTGTCAAACAGCTTTGGGGTCCTGCTGCATGATGACCAACCCTTATAACCAGTTTTCAGGTTTAGACATGAGTTGGGTTGATACTACAAGATTTAGATGCATCCTGAAAATGACACAATACTTCAATGACGAAGCCCAGTATAGGACCGTTTGTCTTTATTATTTTTTAAATTATTTTAATCCTTAGTTTCAGTTTTTGGGTCATGTTCACATTTGGGATCTCTGCAGCGGAGCTTACGTTTCTCACGGTATTCTTGAAACCTGTGGCACCCGCCCGAGTTGATCATGAACGCCATTGTGGTGTATGGCATACTGGTGGTTCCTTGCAGATCAAAGCCCGCGTTTCAGAAACACCCTCAGCTCCAATGCGCCCCCCCCCCCCATTCCACATTATGTGACATACCCCCTCTCCCATTACAACTCGGTCAACCTTCCGCCACACACATATCGATACCCCGTAAAGGAACGATCCGGAATCAGGATGGCCACGCAGCCAGTCGAAGAGGCGGCTCCGTTTCCGTCCGTTGATTAGCTGTTTGTGTTTATCTGGCCCGCCAGTACCGGCCACCTCTTCCTCCCCACTGCCCGTTTTAGATTCACGTCAGGCCATCATTATTTCTGTTGCTCGCGTAAATAGCAGGTTCGCGAAGAGGGGCACCTCTTATAACTACAGGAGCCGAACTTTGCTCGTAAACAGGAAGTTCCGAAACCTGTCGCTGAATGGTAACAGTTGTCTAATGGCGCATGGCAGCCAAGACAAGCGCTGGGCACTAACATGTCCTGCCTTGCTCGTTCCACGTGGACCTTCCCTCTAAATGAACAGTGGATTTTAATACGGTATGTAGCTAAACCTCAGCACAGTGGGGTGATGGTGCGCTTTGTTGAAAGTCCCAGACCGAAATATTGAGCCATTTCAATTACGTTCAAGGCCCAACCGCCGAAACGTTTGGCACATTATCATAATCTACCCATATATATATACCCTGTTACCATTTAAGTCCAAAGCTTGATCATCCTTCCTTCTGGTCTCAGAAGTGGGCGCTTTATTTTCGTGCCATTTCTAAGAAGCGGAAGAACACTGAGCAACTTGTTTAGAGCGTCGCACTGAGGCAGGAAATGCAATACAGAGAAATTAACAATGAACAATAAGTGCGGAGGGATTTGGGAGATTAAATGTCAGACCCAAATGGCTTTCACCAGTGATTTCATAAATTAATTTATTTAAGGCATAAAAAGAACACGCGATACCCACCCCTGAAAATGCTCAAAAGTGATATTATTCCTCTTCTGTTACAAGGTCAATTTCAGACCTTTTTTGTGTCTTATCCGAAACATAAACCGCACTAAACATATCAACTTAACATCCCCGTAAACAAAAGGTTTGTTTATGTAGTGCAATAAAACTGGTGTTTGAGATGGGAGGTAGGTAGGTCATCCTTGAGAGAACGACCACAATGAAGGGAAAGCTTTTCTTGAATGTATTACAATAATATTATAGACCTACTCAAGTTTCGTATTATAGATGAGGAATGAATGCAGCGATTCTCCATAAATGCTGAAAGCGTTGACAAGAGATGACCTCTGCACCTCGTCACAATTAACAGTGTAAGTTTTTTGTCTTTTCTCAGCAATTGCGAATCGGTTGACTGTAATTACATACGTGCCGGCGTTCTTTTTGTGGGCCTGGGTTCCATGAGAGAAACTACACTGAAGAGAATATTTAAACGCAGATAATAAAGCAAGATTTCCCCTTTATTCCCAAAAAAAAAAAAAAGATTATGATGAGAGAGATGATGTAATGTATTCAGCAATGGTGCACAAGAAATCTTATATTGAAGGTACTTGTTGCAGTTATTACATCATGATGCATACAGTATAAGACCATTATTCTTAATGAATTTTATGGTTTCGGGTTAAAGGTAATGGAGACAAGCATTTCCTTTTGCATAGTCTTTGCAGGAAAGCTGGAAAATTAACAGGTGGATTAAGATGTCGATTTCACATTTTAGTTTGCTTCTGTTCTCTTTTTCGGGGACATTTCCTCTTTAGAGTATTTGTCTTAAGGCTGGGTGAGATGTCAGCCCGCAAGAAATCTGTAGCCGCGGCACGTCAATCACTGGGGAAACCATATACCCTGCTTTTAGGATGCTGGAACTTTAATCACTTTTAATAGCGGTACCTTGACCTCACCATGCAAACCCTCAGCCAGCCCAGCTAAGCCGGAACAGCACTGTAATTTACTCCTGCATTCCAGCTGACACTGATTAACAGATGTTACTACAAAGGCCACATATGTCCATGTAGCGTTTGGGCCCCTGCAGCTGTGGGGAAAAATGACTTACATGAAATAATTGGTTTGTTTGTCTTACATCTGCAGGACATCTATCCTTTGAAAGCTAGTCAGCGCCGGGTGCAGGTCACACGCAGGGCTAGGCGCGCAGGTCATGCCTTCATCCCGGGTGCGAGGCGAACGTTGGTCCCGGGACCGAGGCGACATGTCAGTCACGGGCCGTCCGACGGGGAGAGCCGCACACCTTCGGAGAGGCCAACGTCAGCAATAATTAGAGGCTTTCCGGAGTTGCTGTTGGAAGCGAGCCCCGGGTAACTTGTACAAATCTGTGACTGGAGATTAGCTGGAACACGACCGAACACGTTGAGAGAAAGTACTGTCTCTTAGATCACCTCTTAGCTATAACGCTAAAAAGCCTCCGTAGCTGTGCTCTGTTACCTTGCACACGCCACCGTTTCATTTATTTATTACTATTTTGTTGTTTGGCCTGTACTTTCGTCTATCTTGTTTTTCTATACCTAAAACAAATCCTTAGTTCAAAGGGGTTTCAAGAATAGTTTTTGAATTGTTATAAAAGCTCTTTGAACCTTCAGTTTCACCGCGGCTTTCAGTACCTGGACTTCTTCGTATGTGTCTGGGATGTCAAAGATTTGTGTTGAAATACTTTTCATCTTTTTTGTTTTAATTCACATTTGATCGGTTTAAAGGACAAGCCAGCTTAGCTGATCCAGGGAATCAGGAGTCAGAACTAATCCAATTATGCACGGCTTGTCTGTGGACAGTTTCTCTCTTGGTTCCGCACACATGGTGCCGACTTTTCTCACAGTACGGTTTCCCTGGCCTGCCTTAACCCCCAGTTCAGTAATTTCCAAGGAATCTAAGCTATTCAGCAGAACGTCATCAACAGCCACAGAGGCAATGCATGTTATCAACTTGTCTTCCCCTGTGTGGGGATCAGGGTCATTAAAAAGAGTCATACTGATTTTTACTGTCTCTGTAAATGAAGGTTTGATTTACCAGCCAGGCATATCCTCGGACGGCCACATACAGGAAACTGTGATCAGCAGTCATACAGTGATTGGTCATTTGAAAGAGGAAGTGATGTAGGTACCGCTAGTAGTTGGTGCATACCTACTGAGGTGTCTTGCACAATGGAATATGACAGAGCAGGGATATAACAACTTTGATTGTGTTTTTATTTTTGAAATTTAAGTATTTAGAATCTAAGTGTAGTTTAAAGTACTTTATTGTAAGCAATTACCGTTTCAAAGAAATTATAACTATTCTAGGTGTTTAGTGTGTTGTTCATATAAGAGCAAATCCCTTCATCATGAATAAATTTTATGTGCTTCTTGTAAAAATAAACTATACAAAACTAAAAATACAAGCGATTTACTCCACCTCTATTGCCACAGAGAATCTAAACCAAAAACCTATATGTAACTGAAAAGTGTAAATATATACAATTACCTGCATTTCTTACCAATAATTTGATGCATTCACGGGACACTAACTTACCGAGATTCACAGTGGCGTATTGTGTTAGAATTGTTTTCTTTGCACCTTTTCAGTGGAGCTGACAGTAGCTGTTCCAGGGAAAATCGCTCTTAGCAATCAGTGTTGACAGTTTCATTGTACTATTTTACGATACAGTTAAGCCGCTATACTTTAAATGAAGAATACCTATGTAATGTTTTCCCATCGGTAACCACTTCAAACGTTCATCGGCTGGACCTGCAAGAAAGGGCGCCATCACAAGCAGACGCTAAACGTGCATAAACAACACCGCTTCCGCTGGGTCCGCTAAGCGAATCATTTACTTTAAATGCCAACTCCGTTTGGCAAAAAATAAAACATTTACCAGTCAGAGACATTTGAACGTTTGCTTGGTGAAGTTTCATTCATATGAACAGAACTTGGGCGGAAAAAGATATTTCTGAATTGCACTTAATATAAAATAATACACTATAACAATTAAAAGCAAAGTGTGACATGCGCTTTTCCCTTTAACTAGTTAATATTTGATAATATTTTTCCGCTGTCGCAGCTCGACTTTAACGTGTGAACAATGCACAACGGTGGTACAGTGACGGGCTGTTTATTTTACCCTCAGCTTCTCCAATTACTCTTCCGCGAAAATTAGGTCAAGGAAAAGTCATGTTTAAAGTAATTAACCCAGCAGACCTTGCAAGTGATGGTTACCTGACACTATTTAACCAGAATAAGGAGTGTGTTTTCTACCTCATTTCTCACACAAAAACCCAGAGTCCCCTCTCTGTGAAGCATGTAAACTTTGAGCAAGATAAACGCGATGCTATGTTTGCCAACGCCTGACGATGTGTTAATCGTAATATTGCTATTGTGTTTTATGTTTAATTGATAAATTCTGGCTTGTTGCCGAAGAGAATAAATAATTTAATCAGATACAAGCAAATGCTGATCCAGCTATCTAATATCTTGCTTTCTCTATGTAGGCCTATATTGGCCTTTGTAGGCCTACCTGCAAGTGTGTGTGTGGGTATGTATATGCATATAATTAGTATAATCAAAAACCATTTGCACACCTGACACTTTGGAACAATTTGGTTGGCTCTTTGAAATCTTAAGTAATTTGTACCAGTCTTCTCTGATCCTAAATTCTGAACCCAACCATTGTAAAAAGTAAAAAAAAAAAAGAGAGAGAGATGAGAGAGAGAGACTCAAAGTCTTTTGTTTCTCGTTTTCCCACCCGAGCTGTAACTGAAAAAAACTTGCAATTTAATTTCCTCAAACATGCAATTTGAAGTGTTTCAACAATCCATCATACCATGAATCATTACCGTCCTTTAACTGGAGGCACGAGACGTTTATGGGGGCTACACAAACACGCCTTGTGCCCGGTCACCCTCGCTCGTAAAAGCGGGCGCTCCTGCTTTATTGAAACCATGTGTCCTCACTGTGTGCTGAGCCACTTCGGCGTCCCCTGCTTAAGGGAAGGTTTCCATCAATCAGTATCCGATGGGACTCCCCCGGTGCAGCACGGAGGCGATCGAAACATGCGACCGTGATTAAAAACCGCTGTTTCACCGGTAAGCAGAGACGGGATGCTTGCTGTTTTCTGACACTGGAAACCAGCTGGCAGATATTGGCAAAAACAAAACAGAACAGTCCATCGTTGTTGAAGAGCTGCTACAGCATGCTAAGAGAACGATCGAGCTTTTTTTTCCAAAAAGGAAAAAAAAACAGATCAAAGACTTTTCATCAGAAGAAAGGAAAGCATTACCTGTATATTTTGTACTCAATACTTTAATTGTTCTAAAATGTGGAGGGGGGTGGTGTTTTCCAGAAAATGGCAGTGGATCTCCCCCTCAAGGATTCTGAACTTGGATTAAAATTTCAGAAAAGTGTCCACGGATATTTTGCAGAGGGGCAAGAATCGTCTTGCTGCTGCTGAGGGAGCGGTGTATATTCAGCGGTAGGACACGGAGACGGTGAGCAGAGGTAGAACAAGGCGAGAAGCGAGCGTGTCTCTCCAAGGCTGCCAAGACCACCTATTAAACCCAGAGCCAGTCCATTGGTGGGATTAAAGACTCCTGCAAAGTGTCCAAACCCCCCTATTTAGCACTGCAGTATAATTTAAAAGCATTCCGCAATTTTTGATTCATTTATAAACCACATGGTGAATCCAGAACAGTGTTTTAAGTGAAATGCACTGTTGATGTAATTCCTCTAAACAAGTAGCTGGAAATCAGCCTTGAACGTTGGAGTGATCTACAAATAATTCATATTCAATGATAAGCACAGCTGTTAAAAAGCAGGTCAGAGTAACATCTCTGTTGCAAGGACTGTGGGTCCAGACTCAAGCATGAGAAGGATGAAGCAGTTAGAATGAAAGTTTCAGTGGGTTATAGTGTTGGCTAGAAACCTAGTGAAAAAAGAACTGACAATATTCTACTACTAGGACTGGCAAATACGTTTACCAGCAAAGTTCACCAAAGTTGCCCTAAATAACATCCTGTTGGCAGAGATCTGCTGAAGACTCAGCAATTAGGGCTGGACACACACAGCTTAGACAGACCACCCTCAGGGGGGATAATCATTAGTTAATTGATTGACAACACGTCCCTCACCGATCTGTAGGAGCAGGTCAGTGACAGGTACATCACACGGTCTCATGAGATCTCCGTGTCACTGCAGAGCAGGGAATCTTACGTCGGCTAAACTATTATTGAGAAACTTTTGGCTTTTCCTGTTTTATAGGACTCAAGTTGCTTACAGTTATTTAATTGGATTGGTGTTTGTTACACATGCCTCACCGTACTCTCAAACTACACAACACTGGCATTTGCAGTAGATTGTTTTTACTGTTTGACAATCAATCCTTTTATCTGTCCTACCTTTGCACGGACTCGGCCTGTGTACTTTACTTTGAAGTCCTTTTAACATAGGAACTTTCCGATGTGCTGAAAGGTAACGGACTGTTTTGATCCAGTTTTTATACGAACTCCATCTCAAACCTTTCTTGAACATAAAGGAAGGAAGGTGTAGATGAATTCCAGAACCTCCCTTTTGTTTTTTATGATTGGCTAATGATGATGATGATGATGATGATGATGATGATAGCCCATAAAAAGTCTCCTCTCCTTCAGAAGCAAAAAATTCTCCTACTGCATGACGGACATTTTATAAAAATCAATAAAACATATGATGTCCACCAAGGCCTCTTTTTTTGTTTTTTAAGTATTTCAAATAATTTAAGCAGAGGGCAAGTCCTGACAGATTTCATCCCTCCTGAAATAAAAAACCTTTTACAAGAAAGATGGATTTATTTTAATTTTTGGCTACAGAAAAAACATATCAGATTGCTTTGGCTAGGTTTACAGTTCTTTCAGCCAATAAAAAAGTAGTTTCAATAATTTGTAAAAACAAATGCGAAGTATTGAAGATTTTAAAAGAATAACTTGTTTTTTTTAATCCTGTTGTTAAATATTTTAACCTGAATACTGTTTCAGCTGTGTCCTATAATTGGGAGCCAAGTGTAACTGAACCCCAATGTAAATTAATCACTATTTTATGCTTTTCAGCCCTGTGGTCATGGTCTCCTACCTGTTTAGTTTGTTTCCCAGTTTTGTGCCCTAATCTAGTGATGCATTAGTTTGACTGTTAAGAGAATGAAGACCCTTACTGCACAATATTTCATAATTCCCCTTAAGTAGGTAGAAATAAGCTGCTCTGTTCTTGCTAAATGCAAACTGCCAGTTTTGTTGTATTCCTATTCCCAGTGCCAGTGTTAATCACTGCTCAAACCACACATTTGTGTCGGGCCCCCCGCAAGTTTGAGGGCCCCCTGTTGGTCACAAACAGTCACTACACCGGGTGGGTCCAAAGTGAATTTTTTTTTGAGTGGTGCCCCATGAACAACAACCCCCCCACACCTGTATCTAATGTCTTTCATCTTGATTTGAGACTAAGTTTTTTGAAAACATGCAAGTCACATGCAAAGAGCTCATTTTCTTGCTTTGGCAAGGAGAGGATGCAGGCATATTTAGCTGAGTCTGTAATTTTATCAGGTCAGTAAAACGACGGCTGAAGCAGGCGATAACACGGGCATGGTGAATAAATCAAACATGCACTGCAGCGGTTACTGATAGAAGTCTGTGTTGCAGCCTGCTCTCGAACAGGGAAGATGCTCTGATAAAATAATTGTAATTATGATCGCGATCGTCACGGCACGCTTTTGAAGATGCACTTTGCTGTCGCGGCCTCTTTAAAGGTGTGCAGAATGAGAGAATCATCCGCGTGTCAGCCGAGGGAACGGTGAGCAGCCCGGACTTCCCCCAGACGTACCCCCGCAACCGCATTCTCGTCTGGAGGCTCGTCGCGGCGAGTGAGAACATGCGGATACAACTGGTGTTCGACGAGAGATTTGGCCTCGAGGAGACCGAAGACGGGATATGCAAGTAAGCGGGATTTCAGCGAGTGCTCCTGTCCAGGCTCAACGAGAGCGGGTAGGCTGGCTTGTGGCCTGGGCTGGTTCACTCTCCTATGCTTATACATGTCTTAAGCATGTGCCACTTTTTACCCATAATGCCTCAAACACAAGGGCATCATTTCCTGGCGGAATACAGAACTGACGCCACACAGGTGTCCCCGGCCTCCCGTGTTTCAAACCGACACCCTCCTGTTGTCTGCCATCTGATGGTTATACGATGCATGAGAATCACAACCCCCCACCCCCTTCACCTCCTCCCCCGCATCACAGCACCGTGTAATTATAACATGCTCTACCTGCCTGGAGTAGTGAACACCCGCAATGAATGGGATCTCTGTGGTGTCTCGGGCCGAGAGCCCCGACTGTCCTTCATGAGGACGGCCGGTGCACAGAGGGTACAGTGATGATCGACGATTGTCTGGCAAGACCAGCACCATGCAATGCTATTCTGCTCATTTATAAACCCACACTGGCGGTACAGCCATGGTGAGCATTCAGACCCACAGCTCTCAAAGACATCATAAACCCTCAGATCCCCTGAACTCTGACCCCAGAGTCATATTGAACAGTGACCCCACAGCCATAATGAACTCTGACCTCACAGAGTCATAATGAATCCTATGACAACAGAGACATTTTGATCTCTGACCTCAGAGTCATCTTAAATACTAAAACCTTAGAGCTATATTGAATATTTTGCCTTCAAACCGTATTGGGTATTCTGACCCCCTAGAGGTTTGACCCCAGAGTATGTTGAATACTCTGTTGAATTGCTGTACTGTGGTTTTGCTTTAGAGTACAGTCATAAATAGCTATAGAGCTGTTCAGTGTTACCTTATCGCAAGGCAAACTTTACTGCAGGTTACTGAGTCATTGCAGGAAATGTCAAGATACCTAGGTCACTGCATTTTTTGCAACATCTGTAGAGAGATAGCCCTAAATGAATATAACACTGTAAGAGCTGTCGGGAGGTACATGCTGGGAATTTTAAGCCAAGTATACCACCAAGTAGTCTGTAAAAAACACAGGTTTGACCACCAAGTAGTCTGTAAAAAACACAGGTTTGACCACCAGGTAGTCTGTAAAAAACACAGGTTGACCACCAAGTAGTCTGTAAAAAACACAGGTTTGACAGGTACAATCACTGAACTCTCTGTATGGAATCCTTGAATTTCCTCTTCTTAGGTTAATATAAGAGAAAAGAACCTGAATGTTAATATCGTCCAGAATGTAATGCTCCTTCAGAATTGTATTGTGTACTGTCGATGTGCTGTGTGCCATCATTAAGTTTGCATTATATTGCTATGTAGGATGTGGAATACTGTATATTGCTATTCCAGCTATTCAAATCACACTCACCGTTCCCTGTTTGTTAAGCTTCCTCACTCTACCAGACATACAGAGGAAGGATGAGATTTAATCCATCTTGTCCTTGATCATGAAGGACTAAGCCATGACCCTCACAATGTCCAGCCTACGGTCATAGTATCTCCGATATAAATCGGTTAGTTATTTATTGCTGCTACAGGAAATGGAAAAGCGCATTTAGACTGAGCTCAACTCACCTAAGCAGAACTGAGTGATTCTCATTCTCTTCATGCTGCTTTGCACACCTAGGATGTGACCGTAACAGCTGGTGAACACGGGTACAAACACCTAGGATGTGACCGTAACAGCTG